ATCCAAAATTTTATATTTGTCAGGTGAAATATTCTACAAATTAATTCTTTAGTATTAAAAACATCTTTTAGCTCGATACAAATTGAAGATAAACGTACGATACAAATATTAAATATATTCTGTTGGAAACTAAGTGATTGCTGATTTTGTTATTAGGTGACAATCACTTGGTTTCCAACACAATATATTTCATATTTGTCAAATGAAATATTCTACAAATTAATTCTTTAATATCAAAAATATTTTTTAGCTCGATAAGAATGGAAGAGAGTCGTACGATACAAATATGAAATATATTGTGTTGGAAACTAAATGATTGCTGATTTTGTTATTAGGTGGCAATGACAAAATCCAAAATTTTATATTTGTCAGGTGAAATATTCTACAAATTAATTCTTTAGTATTAAAAGCATTTTTTAGCTCGATACAAATTGAAGATAAACGTACGATACTAATATGAAATATATCATGTTGGAAACTAAGTGATTGCTGATTTTGTTATTAGGTGACAATCACTTGGTTTCCAACACAATATATTTCATATTTGTCAAATGAAATATTCTACAAATTAATTCTTTAATATTAAAAGCACTTTTTAGTTCCATACAAATGGAAGATAAACGTACGATACAAATATGAAATATATTGTGTTGGAAACTAAGTGATTGCCACCTAATAACAAAATCAGCAATCATTTAGTTTCCAACACAATTTATTTCATATTTGTCGAGTGAAATATTCTACAAATTAATTCTTTAATATCAAAAGCATTTTTTATCTCGATACAAATTGAAGATAGACGTACGATACAAATATGAAATATATTCTGTTGGAAAGTAAGCGATTGCCACCTAATAACAAAGTCAGCAGTCATTTAGTTTCCAACACAATTTATTTCATATTTGTCGAGTGAAATATTCTACAAATTAATTCTTTAATATCAAAAGCATTTTTTATCTCGATACAAATTGAAGATAGACGTACGATACAAATATGAAATATATTCTGTTGGAAAGTAAGCGATTGCCACCTAATAACAAAGTCAGCAGTCATTTAGTTTCCAACACAATTTATTTCATATTTGTCGAGTGAAATATTCTACAAATTAATTCTTTAATATCAAAAGCATTTTTTATCTCGATACAAATTGAAGATAGACGTACGATACAAATATGAAATATATTCTGTTGGAAAGTAAGCGATTGCCACCTAATAACAAAGTCAGCAGTCATTTAGTTTCCAACACAATTTATTTCATATTTGTCGAGTGAAATATTTTACAAATTAATTCTTTAATACTAAAAGAATTTTTTAGCGCGATGCAAATTGAAGATAAACGTACGATACAAATATGAAATATATTGTGTTGGAAACTAAATGATTGCTGATTTTTTCATTGCCAACTAATAACAAAATCCGCAATCATTTAGTTGCCAGCCCAATAGTTTCGTTGTGCCACGGTATATCGTCATCATAAGTGAAAATTTCGAAAAGTGTACAAACTATATGAAAATTTAAATTGCAATTTAAAGGACGAAGTGGACGATATTATAAAACGTTCAAATTTATAATTTGTAATTCATGTGAACGTAAAGGGGAAAAAGTAGGAGGTTGTGCTTAAGAAAATGAACATCTTAGATGAAGGATAAAAACATTCAGAAGGTCCTTGCGGTTTAACCATTGCGTTTCCCCTTTCTTTCCTTTCTTTTTTTTTTTTGCCCCCTTTTATCCGAGACCCTTGCTCGCGAAAATGGCACTGCCTCCGTTAATTATGTCAGCAGATGGAACTCTGTAAATGGAAATCGCATCCCTTGACGATTTTCCAGGGTTTCGATGATAACATCGATAAGACTATACGACCGAAGGAACGAGTTCTTACGCTACCCGAAGCAGCCTTGTAATTCCAAAGATTACGAAAAGACGAGTTCCAGACGAGTGCCATTCTATCGAATCGTTTATCAATTTATATCGTTAGATTTACATTGTCATTCGCTGTTGCGAAACACTTTTCAAAACTAGACGTAACTTTCGAGAAAATTACTGGAAAATATCAACTTTACCTTCCATTTTCAACAGTATGGAATTTTATTGCTTCTTTTTAACATTTCCCTTCGATCTTCTAAAGCTTAGAATACGAAAATTCAGTTTACTTGTCTCTTGGAAAGGGAGCTTGGATTTTTTAATCACCGCAGTTCAAACGAATATTCAAACGTTTTAAATTCAACAACATACACTATCGTTGATATTACTGTACAAACGATAATCGGATAATTTCCGAACAAGTGAATTATCATCAACGTCACTCGCAAAGATTCGATCGAACAATCCAAATTTGTTTCTTTTTTTATTCAATATTTCACATTCACAATTTACCCAATTTGGACATTTGGTAGAATTTTTTAGTTGTTTTGGTTATCACGTGGGTGGCTACTCCCAGCGGAGTAAAATAATCCAAATGAAATAAAAATTCACGAAACTGATCGCCAAGAAGCTCGCTGTTCGCGTACGATTCCCATAAAATGTACGTTGAAAAACGCACACGCGATAAAAAGTACGACGACAAATTAACCTTCGCTCGTCTAGCTGAAGAGAGCAGGCGCTCGAAATATCAATCTAAATAATAAGCAGTAAACCGGCGAGATTTCCAGGCCAATATCCTATCGGCAGGATTGTGCAATAATCGAACGCGAACTGTCGTTGTATTATGAAACGCTGGAACGAGGAAACGCACTCGCCGGTATTTTGCATCGCGATTATTTCCAATCGGAGCCATCCGCAATGCCTATAAAGGAAACAGAAGGTGTCTGTTTCAATAAAGAACGGAATATCGAGTACACGGGGTATTCCGGGGCGCGGACATAAATTTCCCAGTGTACCTAATTGAAAGGGGAAAAGAAAACTGAGACGAGAAGAAAGTTTGCGACTTGGAGCGACGAGGAGGAAGGGAGGTGAAAACTGGAAAAGAGACGAATAGAATCGGTTTGTAAGAGAGAAAAGAGGAAGGACACGAGGGAAGAGAACCGCTTCGGGATATGTTAAACGGCTCGAGAATAGCCGGTTGCCGTTCTCCAAATAAACGACGCCAGAAGCGGTGAGGGCACACGGTAGCTTTTCGAAACAAGATTCTTCGTGTCGATGTAACTTACGATTCTCACGGCTGTTCAGCCAAATCCCTACTAACTTACTTCCACCCACGAGAACGTCGTTTAGGCTACTTTTGCCCCAAAGTATCCGAATATCTGCTTATTTTTCTCAACATGCGTTTTAATTGCAAGATCAGTCGTTCTACGTTTGTTTGGAAAATTAGAATATTTTACGTATATATTTAATTGAACGTTCATTGAACTGGGACGTGTGTTATTGGACGTATAGTGGTCTCGCGGTATCGTAGTATAATTCGTAGCGCAGGTGTGATGCCTGGCAGTTGTAAATTTCAATGGCAGCAAATTAGTAGCAAGATGGGAATACAGTTTTAATCCGGTTACTCTTAGAATCGCGGACTAAAATGGTCAAATTTTGCTAAAATTTCATAATTATTCCTCTCTGATGACGAGTCCCAGCAACGTGCGATACAGGGATCCTGCGTATAACGCGTTACTGTCGAAACGCGATTGGAAAATTGGTGAAAATCTGGCACGTAATGAGAATTTTGGAAAATAAACAACGCCATTCGATATTTTTCGGAGCAAAAGTATGTCTGCTGTCTGAGAAGTTGCGTGAATTTTGGAATACCGTGATCTTTCGTTTATTTTTAGATCGCCAAGTATCAGCCCTCGAAAAGTTTTTCCTGCTATAGGAAAGTAGCAACTCGAACACTTTCTCGCTTTTAGTTAATTATTTATTGTTAATTATAATTATTATAGCGAAAAGATCGTGTACTTACACGGCATTTGTTAGGAACCTAATGGTAGCGTTGCTCAATTTATAAATGCAAATTTTTATTCGAATCAAATGTTTCTCTCTCGGATTGTTTCTCTGTGATATAAATTGCAATGGCTAAATTTGTTACAGTTATTCGGATGAATTAATTACTTACATTATTTTTAATAGTTACAGTCGCGTGTTCTTATGGTTTGATAGTTTCCTGTCGAATTTCCAACGTCCTTTATCGAACGTATTTCGCTAGATGCTATCGGTTTTTAATTAATACAGGAATTGAGATACATTGGAAAATCGATACGCTATGTATAGAATTAAAGGATTCTTTTAATTATCGATAATTAAGATTTGCGGACTTTTCGTTTCGAAGCGTTGATCAATTTATCATATTCTTTTAACACGTTTAATCGACTGAATTTGAACGAATACAGAGGAACGATGCATCGCGTGCAAGTCCGTATGAAAATAATTTTTACTATGAAACAGGTTTCCTTAAAATTTATGTTAACGTGGAAGGTACGTAACAGGTGTAACCACTCGACACAGTTTATTTGACTTCTGCATCCGGAATCTTCTTTGTAAACTAACATTTTTCAGTCTCACAATTCTTTTGGACCTCGGTTGATAAATGTTTCTTTTAAGAACGAATATATCCGACGTATGTTGGATATGCGAATATAATAAAATTACGCGAAACGAAAATTAATTACGCTATAAACTCGCTGAATTTTAAAATTCTTCATCAATCTACGGTGAAAGAACGTTTAAAATTAGCATACTCAATTAGTGTGAGTAACTTGTGTACTAAACATTTTCTATCATATTGTTTAACTTATTTTGGGGTTTATGTCACATTCGTTCGTTGCTTTCGTCGAATATTCTATTTCGTAATGTCATGGTGTCTTTTTGTGCTTCTTCTCTCTGAAACAATCTTCTGCTCATCATGCACGAGCTTAATCGCGTGAAATTCTTAATTCGCTTACCGACATTCTTAGATCTCTCGTTGTTAAGAAGAATTAGGATAGAATAGAATAGAAAGCGGACGAACAAACGTTTGAAATGAAGTATGCGTGGTTTAATTTGTGACAGGATGACAGTAACAGGGTGTAATCGTGTTTTAGGCAAAAAGAAATTTCCATCGGATCCGTCCTGTTGCCCAGCGTGCGGAGTAACTGTAAGGCCGCAGGAATTGGAGCAACATTTCGCTCAGGAACTCGACCGACTTTACAAGATATCGTCGGCATCCTCTCGAGCGCGAGCGTCAAGGTCGAGTTTGCCTCCTGGCCATCCTCAAGACCATCCCCATGGACCGATGCTCCATGCCCCATCAGCCGCTGATGGAACGCCTCATGGAAGATGGGAGACTTACAAGAGAATTAAAGCCAATAGACAGGTAAATGAATAGTGTAGTATCATGGACAAATGACTTAAGAAATATCGGGTGAAATATTGCGGGAAGGTTTAAGTGCCGTTAGGCCAAAAAGGTCCTGGCAGTTTTTATCAGGTGAACGATAAACAATGTTGCGAGAAGGCCTATTTGTCGTTAGACCAAAAAGGCCTGGGAGTTTTGCCGGGTGGTTGTCACCTGCACAGTTGTGAGTGGAGAGTCGTGAGTTGTGAGTCAAGTTGAGATAATTGTGAGTTGACAGTTGAGTTGAGATAGTTGCGAGATGAGAGTTGAGTTGAGATAGTTATGAATTGAGAGTTGAGTTGAGATAGTTGCGAGTTGAGAGTCATATGGTGAAGAGTCGAGTTGAGTTAGTTGTTAGTTGAGAGTCGAGTTGAGATAGTTGTGAGTAGAGAGTTGAATGGAGATAGTTGTGAGTAGAGAGTCGAGTTGAGATAGTTGTGAATTGAGAGTTGAGTTGAGATAGTTGTGAGTAGAGAGTCGAGTTGAGATAGTTGTGAATTGAGAGTTGAGTTGAGATAGTTGTGAGTAGAGAGTCGAGTTGAGATAGTTGTGAATTGAGAGTTGAGTTGAGATAGTTGTGAGTAGAGAGTCGAGTTGAGATAGTTGTGAATTGAGAGTTGAGTTGAGATAGTTGTGAGTAGAGAGTCGAGTTGAGATAGTTGTGAATTGAGAGTTGAGTTGAGATAGTTGTGAGTAGAGAGTCGAGTTGAGATAGTTGTGAATTGAGAGTTGAGTTGAGATAGTTGTGAGTTGAGAGTCATATGGTGAAGAGTCGAGTTGAGTTAGTTGTTAGTTGAGAGTCGATTTGAGTTAGTTGTTAATTGAGAGTCGAGTTGAGATAGTTGTGAGTAGAGAGTCGAGTTGAGATAGTTGTGAATTGAGAGTTGAGTTGAGATAGTTGTGAATTGAGAGTTGAGTTGAGATAGTTGTGAGTTGAGAGTCATATGGTGAAGAGTCGAGTTGAGTTAGTTGTTAGTCGAGAGTCAAGTTGAGATAGTTGTGAGTAAAGAGTCGAGTTGAGATAGTTGTGAGTTGAGAATCCAGTGGTGAGAAATCGAATTGTGAGGAATCGAGAGTTGAGTTGCCGAGTTGTTTTCAGTTGTAGACTATTAGTTGTGAGTTTTGAATCAACTATTTAACTATAACACATTATTTAGTTCACGTTAAGTAACCATCGTTTCCCGTTTAATCCATTATAAATAGATCCATCGATCAATAAAATTATCATATAGGATAGTAATCATTGGAAACCCTAATTTCTAATATTTCTAAATAAATAAAAAAATCCTACACTAATCAACAGTTTTTCACTACTATACAGTCACAGATTAATAATTAACATACACTAAAGTTAAGTTTGCAATACGATTTAACGAACTCAGCGTTAAACATCGTATAAATATGAAGGAGAATGTGAAAAAATCAGGCTGAAGTTGAGAAATTCATTCATTTAAAATGAAACCCCTGGAGGAACAAAAAAAAGTCTTTGTCGCTTAAAAATTAATTACCCAATCGGTTCTGCTAAAGATAAAAAGATACATTTCCTTTTATTAATTTGTCAATGTTATTCTTCGATTGTACATCAACTTTTATTCCGAATTTTGTCGATATAGCGTGATTACGCCTGTCACGATATTTCTAAAAAGTGGTTCGTAAATATGTGCAGGCTAGAATCCGTGTGAAGAACCGGAAACGGAAAGCGGATGAACCTTCTTGCCCCGTTTGTAGCGAGAGGCTATCTGGCACGCCGGAGGAATTGAATCAGCACGTCGAACGATGCTTGAACAAACACAATAATGGAAATCCCGCTGGTCAGAATAATTTGGACGAAGAGGAGGTGGACGTGGAGGGCGATGCTGAAACTTTCGAAGAGTATGAATGGGCTGGTCAAAGAAGAGTGCGGGCAACGTCGATGCTCGTCGGAGGATTTTCTGGTAAATTAAAGCGAATAAATCGTTCTTCAACAAGATCTATAGCTTTCATTTTCATAATATCACATTTTCCTAGTCGTATTCGTGTTTCTTTTTAAATCCTATTATTTCTGTATAATTTTTCTTGAGAGGTTCAAAACGTATTCACTGCACGAACAAGCTTTTCTTCCTCTCGAATCCATACGTCTGACAGTCGTTAAATAGATGATACATTTATACTGTACGTGTGAGAGTGTTTGTGAGCGTCGAAGAACGTCCAGGTCCCGGTTGGGACAAAAGCGATTAAAAGCGATCAAAAGCGGCTAGAAGTTATTAGAAGCGATCAGAAGAAAAGAAACAAGCAAACAAGCGAGTAGGTCGTCGAATCGTTCAGAGAGTAACGTACACGAAGAGCAAAATAATTTGTAAAGAAATTTGAAACTTTTTGTTTTTCCAAATCCTCTCTGTACCTTAACAAATAATCGTTGACTCGATCATCTGGCATTTGGATTGAAGGCAATCGAGGATTATCGGACTTAAACAATTGCATATTACGATGTTGTGATCTGATTAATTACTTAAAGATTACGGTTAAGCGAGACTAATCCACGTCTTAATCGTTCTCACGGTATTATATTTAACATCAGATTAATAATTTTCTCCTTTTAACAAAACATCGAACGTTGTATGAGATTTGTAGAAATGCTCTGTAGTATTGTGAAAAAAAGGCCTAATTGGAGATAGATCGGATCATAAATACAGTGTCGTCTACCCTTCAGTTGTTAGTTTACGTCGAAGAAAGCCTATGTGACTAAGATCACCTAGTTCTCGCGGAGCATGGGCGTGGTGAGATTAAAGAAAAAAGAAAAGAACGCCAGAGGAGAAGGACGATTTTGGGATCAAAGAGCGCTAACCGAGAGGTGGGAGTGTGTGAATCGAGAAGCGAGTGTGAATCGAAAGTCAGAGTTAGTGGAGAAGTCGAGGAGTAGAGTTGTTAGCGTTGCTGAGAGATAGAGTTGTTAGCGTTGTCGAGTTGCTTGAATTGAAGTACGATTCTTGTATTTAGTTCCAGTTAAACAACCATCGTTTTTTGTCTAATTGATATCTGTACAGTCAATTTATTGTAAATAAATTGTAAATAATGGGCGAAAAATGTATACCTAAAGTTCATTGCTTGTTGCGTTCGTAGCTGCAGGTTTGGCGACCTCATCGAGCAATCGTTCAACCGCTGGCAACGGTGGATCTAATCAGCAGGAAGAGGAAGACGTGGACCTGGTGGTCGATGGCGACGACGCCGCCGAGTTTGGACCTGCACAGTATTCCGAAGCCGATGTGATCGCGCCACGTATGGATGGCACGCCGAGAGAGCAAAAGGAAAGAGACGCTCTTCGAGAAGCCGTGATATCGCCAAACGCGTCCAACACGCCTCACACGCCGCACACACCCGAACAAATCGGTCAAGGTTTGGTCGAGGTGAAACCGGAACCAGGAACAGCGACTCCTCTTGGCCAGAACGAACAAGACGAGAGTGCCTCGACGTCGCCTAGAAGGGACGGTGACACGCCAGTAATCGAGGCTCTTCGAGGCAGAATTCGGGAATTAGAAGCGGAAATGCGTGGCCAACCGTTTAAGTGTCTCATCTGCATGGTAAGTTCTTGCTAGTGGCAGATTCATTAGCGTAGATAATTATGGAAAGTGGCATAAATCGTATATTTTACGTCTCGAGATATTTAACGTTGCGTGCTTGACGTCTAAACTGACTATCATGGTTTAGCGAGGCAACAACCGACTCGATGCAACAGTTGAATTTCTGCCACTTTGCAAAGATCATTTCAGATTATCGTGATGTAAATTCAAAATGATACACGCATTTTTCTTTTTAGATTCTTTAGATTCCTGATTTAGACCACGACTGTCATAATTTATTTACTTCCCAATGGGACTACAAGTCATTCGGTTACATATCTTCTCTTACAAACTGCATCTCTTCCGCCATCTCTTCATACTAACTTACATAGATTCTTCGTTTATGAGTCTTTTTGTTGTTATTAAGTTATTAGAGACCAAGCAGTAAAATGCAGTAAAAGGCATTTCATTTTCGTGGTTATCTTCCAAAATGATCTTTCAAATTTTGGAATCTCTTCACGCCATGATATTTGATACACTTTTTATTTGTTACAAAATACTCATGTACGGATATGTACGTGCATTGGTTTGGCAGCTAAATGATCGCAATCACTTAGTTGCCAGTTCAATACATTAAACCTGCTGTCATCCTCATTTCTTCTTCGGTTAGTATCTCTTCGGATATCTTCTTTTTTCCGAACTATTTTGTTCATAGAAAGCGTGAAACGCACGGAACGTCCAACAAATTTAGTTGGATAATAAAATATTTAAATACTATGTATATCGTAATGATATCTGTTGAAATTGAACACTTTTGGATAATGTAGAATTAAGAAAGACAGCAGGGTTAAAATGTAACATTATACTGTCTATTATAAATATATTTACTGGATATTATTTGTTACGCTTCTCATAGATCTAGCTTCTTAAAACATTGTCTTCTTCTTTCTAATATTTCTGTTCTCAAGCTTTTCACCTAGTAATTCTTCCGTTTCTTCCGTTCACGTAGCAATTTTATTAAATAATTTCCGAGACTGAGAAAACACAGAAGCGATAAATATGAAGCTCGTTGCTTGCTAATTAACAAAAATATTTCATTCTTTTATGTCCTCAGGAACAGTATAAAAAGCCTGTGACTTCGGTTTGCTGCTGGCACGTTCATTGCGAACAATGCTGGTTGCACACATTGGTGAGTTACCAGTATTTTGCTAAATTTACATTTATAATACGTCTTTGAATATAATTTCTCTTTTCTTTTCTTGATTATAGTAATTCGTATATGAAACGTTCTCACCAAATAGAAAGTATACTTTGACAAAATTTCTCGTCATTTAATTAATTTACTTGAATTATTTATTATTTCCAGAATTTCAATGAGTAAAATTGAAATTCCGAATAAAAATTGAAGAAAGGCATTGATCATTGTCTAAACGATATATTAACAATTCTTTCTCTGACACGTTGCTCTCGATTCACCTGTGGAATATATTTTAAACGTTGCTTATTATCTTATACGTTACACAAAGAAATATATCGCAATTATTATCATAATATTTCATTGATATTTAATTACATCAAACATAAAATAATGAATAGTAAATCTCATATCTAAAATCATTTTATATAAACACGATGAAATAATCGTTCGATATGCTATCAAATTATCATACTCCTTAAAACCTAGTATTATTTCTCGATAGAAACTGTTCCTGTCAAAATTCTTCTTTCTTCTCCACTCCAAAAAAAAAAAAAAAAAAAAACGCCCATTGCGATATAAATGTTTTTCAACTTTAATCGCATTGAATTATTTTATTCGATTTGCCGCTAATATATCTTTGCCATACGGTACAACTGTCAGAGAAAGAAAGCTGAGAATAGATAGGAAAAAATTTGTTGAGGAGAGTTGTCCCTTTCAGGGTGCGAAAAAGCTGTGTCCACAATGCAACATGATAACGTCGCCTTCAGATTTGCGACGTATCTACATGTGAAGGAAGTCGCGTGTGCCAAACAAGAAATTGGGTTGTCCGTAGAAAAATAATGGTCGATTTTTTGCCAAAGAATCGACGCGTTTCGATATGACTCGATCGTGTAAATATCTGTATATATTTATGCGTCACGTTAAATTAACTCCTTTTAGATTTACCACGTACGAATTATGCACTTAGTAGCGTTAGTAAATTAAGCCGTGAAAGGCGCGCGCGAATCATGTCTCGATCATGCTTTATCGCTCGTCGCGCAGACCAATTTTCATCCTGCTATAATATATAGAAATATATATAGAAAAATATTTCCTCCTCTGATAAGTTATCGTATAATGTTAGTCGACAAGTTGCTACGCTACTCTTCACAAGTATTTGGACACCTGCGATTCGATCAAAAAATTCATATTTTTTTTTATTTATCAACAACGTTTCTCTATTCTTCGCCATTTTTCTCTTCTCTTAAAACAATTATCGCGAAGATATTTTCTTTCGTCTATGCGAAATTGAAAATAAAACGAGGAATATATCTGTATTACATAAATTCAATGTATAATTATTTAATTTCCTATACTTTTAATCGTTCCTCTTTAATCTATAACAGTTAACAATTATTTTCTTCGTTGAGATAAATATCTTCCCCCTTTTTCTCTTCTCATAGGTGACAAATTATGTCAAGACAATTATCGCGAAGATATCTTCTTTCGTCTATGCGAAATTGAAAGAAAACGAGGAATATATCTGCGTCACATAAATTCAATGTTGTAATGAATAATTATAATTATTTAATTTCCTGTACTTTTAATCGTTCCTCTTTAATTTGTAATAGTTAACAATTATTTTCTTCGCCGAGATAAAAATCTTCCCCCTTTTTCTCTTCTCATAGGCGGCAAACTATGTTAAAACAATTATCGCGAAGATATCTTCTTTCGTCTATGCGAAATTGAAAGAAAACGAGGAATATATCTGCGTCACATAAATTCAATGTTGTAATGAATAATTATAATTATTTAATTTCCTATACTTTTAATCGTTCCTCTTTAATTTATAACAGTTAACAATTATTTTCTTCGTTGAGATAAATATCTTCCCCCTTTTTCTTTTCTCATAGGTGACAAATTATGTCAAAACAATTATCGCGAAGATATCTTCTTTCGTCTATGCGAAATTGAAATAAAACGAGGAATACATCTGCATCACATAAATTCAATGTTGTAATGAATAATTATAATTATTTAATTTCCTATACTTTTAATCGTTCCTCTTTAATCTATAACAGTTAACAATTATTTTCTTCGTTGAGATAAATATCTTCCCCCTTTTTCTTTTCTCATAGGTGACAAATTATGTCAAGACAATTATCGCGAAGATATCTTCTTTCGTCTATGCGAAATTGAAAGAAAACGAGGAATATATCTGCGTCACATAAATTCAATGTTGACCTGTAATGAATAATTATTATTGTAATGAATAATTATTTAATTTCCTATACTTTTAATCGTTCCTCTTTAATTTATAACAGTTAACAATTATTTTCTTCGTTGAGATAAATATCTTCCCCCTTTTTCTTTTCTCATAGGTGACAAATTATGTCAAGACAATTATCGCGAAGATATCTTCTTTCGTCTATGCGAAATTGAAAGTAAAACGAGGAATATATCTGCGTCACACAAATTCAATGTTGACCTGTAATGAATAATTATAATTATTTAATTTCCTATACTTTTAATCGTTCTTCTTTAATTTGTAATAGTTAAGAATTATTTTCTTCGTTGATATTTGCTAACTGTAATATGGTTGAGTACAGTAAGATCAAAATTACATTAAAAAGTTCCAATTGAAGAACTTATTTTCTTATCAGTACAGAATTATTATATTATTACTAATATAATAATATAAATATAATATATATATATATATTATTATATATTATTCTATAAATATGCAATGATTTGTGTCCAAATATTTATGTACGGTAGCGCACGTTATTTTGCGCGATACTTATTTCAAGACTTAAGAACCGAATGACAGACATTTAGAATATTACGAACACAGATATTCGAACAATTTAATTATAATCGTTACAATTAATCGTTTCATCTAGTTCTGCCGTATAGTTTCAAATAATTAAGAAATCTGTTAAAAGGAGGAATGCTTGCAGTAAAACCGAACACGACGAACTTTTACACTCGATCGTCGATTGATTAAAGTTCGGGGACGCATCATCGCCAAGCATCTTCGTCGAATCTGCTCCTAATCGAAGACTATTCGCGCGTACCTGAAATTCCTAGGTGTCATTTCGAACGACTAACGTCTACATTAAAGTCGCCCCTTTTCGCCGGATCTACCGTTTTTCTCTTGAAACAATGTATCTGTGTCTACGATTCATCGAGTTCAATTTACAAAGACGAATATTATGTATGTGTAAAATATAATCGACAACTTTGTTAAATCAGCTATTTCCAGTAGGCTTTCCGTAACCGTGAAAGAGGACAAAGAAAATAGTCGGAAATTATCGTATTTAAAATACGAGCAGCACTCACCAACACTACGTGGAAACACGAGTCTCTTAAACGTTTATTACGAATGTCCAATCTTCTTTTAAGCCGAACCTAACGAACCGATTAATTTAATTCGAGGCGCACAAACGATATGGAAAAATGCGAAGAAGAATAACGACGAGTATGCATTTTCTTTCTAATGTATGATATGTAACATTCAGCTACTATATGCGAGTTAGGCAAAACACTACACAATGTAAAGAGCAGGCAATATTAAGTTTTCTCATTAGGTTTAATTATTTTTTTATTTTTATCCATGGAAACGTATATTTATTCTATTTTATCAGCAATAAAGAACAATTTATTATCGATAGTATCTGTTCGAAAAAAAAAAAAAAGAAGAAGGAGAAGCTAGATTTTATATTATTTATAGTATGTTTCCTATCGTTACCAGGGTTCGATCGTCCATTTTTCCAAATACAAATTTTCCTTGAGGAATACTTCTTTAATTGTCTACGATCGATAGAGAATATTCGTAATGGACGATTAATTCGTTGTACGGATAAGATGCACGTTAAAAAGAAACGAATTAAAAAGGCAATATACGAGGTGAACTTGGTTTTTCTTCTTTTTTTTTTTTTTCTTTTAATTTCCGTTGTAAAATACGCACTGTTTGCAGGCTATGGCGAAATCGATAAATCACAAGACGATACACCAGTGTAATCCAATCGACCAAAGTTACGATACAAACAAACAGACAAAAAAATGTGGATAAGTTAATAATTGATATCTATTAAAAGGAATAACGCAAGCTCGCCTGTTTTTCCCTTGTCTTATGCATGTAAAACGGAAGGAACGTTGTTTATTTTGACTAGAAAAATTCGCGGAGGAAAGTACGAAGAGGGAGAGAATAAAGAAATGCAGATGAGAAAGGAAGGGAAAGACGGACCAACGCGTATATCAACGATCGATCTTCTTTCGAAAGATTCGTTTCTTATTTTCTAAGTATATCATTGTTCCATCTGCTAAATCATCGATACAATGATCAGCGATTAAGCGAACCAGTGAAAAATGACGAAAAATTGTTTGACATTGAGAAGACAGATAATTCGACTGGACATGGCTCGATGAGTTATGTTACATTGGAAATATTTGAAATTTTATTGTTAATATCCAGCATAATATTAACAATTTTATTGTTAATATTAATTTTCTTGTTAATATCCAGCTTTCGTAATATTTCATATTATAATTATCAGTTACAAATTTTCTTTCGTCGCTTCTCCCACGTTCGAAGTAACAAAATTTAACGACCGAAACATTGCACGCGCGTCCAATCGAATTTTGTCACTCGTTGTTGATAAAACGTGAAACGAACTTGCGATAAGCAAATTATCTTTGTTTCGAGACGAAGTACGCAGGTCGATCGACCGCAGTGATATGCACAAGTCCAAGAGTTCCTTGGATGCTGGTCAATGTTTTTTAAAACAATAGAAACGTCCGAATTTTCTCTTCTTCTGCTTCTCTGTCCCCTGTTGATCAAGATTTTAGATTGCTGCGTGTCCCCTCGTGCACGCCGAGAAAGTTCTTGTAAATACATACAGAAATCGAGTTAAAACCAGCAGGAGAAATCGGCTCCCCGTTGCGAGCGTTGTTCTGTAATCGAAATAAAACGATCATGGAATGTAGAACTATCGTTTACAATCAGTTTCTTCGTCGCCTTGTTCTTCTTCTGCACGAAATTCATTTCCTTCCATTTCAACGATACGCTGTGCATCGATGGAATATTACGATCAACGTTCCAACAATTTTCAAGCTGAAACGCAGTCAAAGGTACGTACTGCTCATTTTTCTTTTTTAACGATTACTTCTAACGATTAATTCTCAGAATCAAGTGATCGAAACGAAATATTTGCTAATTGAGATTGGAAACTTTACTTTTTAGAATTGTCACATGCGTTTGTATAATGTAACATATGGACGATAAATCGTAAATGTTATCGATATTAATCGATGAAATGGAACGTTTATTTATATCGTCGTTAGCTCTCTGCTTTTAACTTTCTTCTGTTTCTTTTCAGTGGGAAATTAATTTTATTCATAAAATTTGAACATTCCTCGTATCGATTAACAATTTTGCCCAACAAAGCAACTCGATTGTTTGCATATGATAATAGACACTTTCCAAATGTGGAAAATGTGGAGAAGGCTTTTAATCGCAATTCATAGGAAGATAAAGTATACAGGAAGACCTGTTTTCAAGGTATCGATACTATTCACAGCTAATCAGCTTATTTTGTTTCAGTATAATAGGAAAGTAATTATTAATGCGTGTAACGACCCAGGCATTTATTCAAGCCCATACTAAATAGTTAAGTTACGTACTAAATTACATATTTAATTGTAATACGTGCAATTAAGGCATCAGAAAAGTCTTCCCAGTGAAATTGTCCATCTTTGAATTTTGAATAG